TGTGTGTGTGTGTGTGTGACTAGAACAATTAATACCAGTTAGCCGTGCGGCTGCAGTTTAATGAGGGAACAGGCCCGTCGGTGCGCAGGCAGCTGCATTAATTGCAGCCAACAGGAACAATTTTCTCATTTAAATATGCAAATAAACACATTTGTTACAGTTAATGAGACAGAAATAAAAAATAAAAGCTGTGTGCTCCCTCAAGTTTGTCAGAGTTTCACTTTCCTGACGCTGTTCCTTCACCTTTCATTGACTTCCTCACGTCACCCGGGGTCAGACAGCGATGCAGCGGAGCAGATTGGAGACTCGGTCGATCGGGCTCGATGAGCCGGTGAGTTGATGAGGTTCAAATATTTAGCAGGTGTTCATGAAAGTTTAACGGGGAGATTCACGCTCCTGAGGCTGATCTGATGTGATCGACGAGACTGGTTCAGCAGAAGAGACTCGCTGTTCTGTTCCTGTCGAGTTACAGAAAACACAGAGAGGTGCTGCAGCCACTTCCTGTCACACAGACAGCGGCCCGCAGAGCGCAGAGGATCAACGTTCGTTAACCACCACCGTCACTTTACTGCACGAAGCTGAAGACTCATGAACCTGGAGTTTAGAGAATCCAACCAATTCATCAACCTGGAACCAGAACAAGTCTGATCCAGATGTTTGGATTCAGCTCCGGAGATTTAAAGATACACATCTGTGAAGTCGAACGGAGAATGCAGCTGCTTCCAGACCTGCAACATACTCTGGATCATTTCAGGAGATTATCCGGAAGCTGTGACGACACATGTCGGAGTTTTTCCTCCCAAATAAAAACATCAGAGTGAGTCCATGTGAGACAACAGCAGGAAAACATCTGGAACCTTCTCAGTGAGCGAGTGGACGTGTCTCTGAGGTTTCTAACACGTGACGGACGCGAAACTGGACGAACACAAATCACTCAGCATGAAGAAGAGGAGCCGTACACGTAGAAGACGAAGACGTCAACTTGGAAAGACGAGGAGGTTCCAGAGCTTCCGGATATTTTCTGGAGTTTCTGTCTGAAAACGGCTCCAGAGAAAGTATCTGCAGAGACACTGTGGCCACCGCCGCTCAGACCTCATTCCCATAGATCAAAATCACAAGCACTGCCGACAAAAGACAGGCCGCCTCAATCATCTGGCTGGTTTACAGCACGCTCAGTGCCGTGACGACCAAATCACACACACACACACACTACGAGCTGTGCGGCCTTTAACACAAACACAGCTTCCTGTCGGAGGCTCTGGTCTGCTCAGACCTGGGCGAGCTCCAGGTGAGCAAACACAACTAATTTCTACAAATAAACAGTGGAGATGCAGTTTGGACGAACTGATTAACCAGATCAGACCAGAACACCACCGCTGTCCAGATGTGAGGGGGGGGGGGGGGTCTCCTCACGTCTTCTGTCTGCTGCTTCATCTCTATCAGACATGTCCTCATGTAGAAATACTTTAAACATGAACTTACAAACTGTTTCTTCTGATGCAGTGAATCTGTTGTTGTGTTCAGGTACATGCAGCATCATTTGTCCCCGTGTCCTGGGAGACGCAAGATTAGAAACAAAAACACCCAAAAGGGTTCAAATCGTCCACGAAACCGTTTCAGGTTTTTAGATTCTGGCAGGAACGTTGCACGTGATGTTCGAGAGTCACCATCAGACTTTTCTCCAACAAGTAAATGTGAACATGAAGTGATGTAAACATCGTAATCAGAACAACGTCTTCTGAATAAGTTCAATAATCAGAGTCTGACCTCAGCACAGCCCTCGTGAACTCACTGAGACTCTGCAGGGAAAATGTGAAATCACAGCGTTACAAACCAAAACTGCACTTCTGCCAGAAAATACAGAAAATACAGGAAATACAGAAAATACACATTATCAGCTTCAGTCAAGAAACCTCACACCTGTGTGTGTGTGTGTGTGTGTGTAGTTGGGATAAATACTGTCAGTTCTGTTTGTCCTTTAACAACCCTGTTGCCAGCAATCTCTCTCACACACACACACACACACACACACACACACACACACACAGTTGGCTGTGGTTTGAAGGGTAAGGAATGAAAGAAAGAGTGGAAAGTAGCCGGTGACGGTTAAGGTCGATTCAAACTCTTGCTGGAAACGAGCCAACACACACACACACACACACAGACACACATTCTCTCTCACACACACACACACACTCACAGACACACACTCTCTCTCACACACACACACACACACTCAAACTCAAACTGCTGCAGCTCAGATATAAACTAAATGATCCAGTCATCATTACAGGAACATTTCACTCACTGAGTCTCTGAAGTTGGAAACATCTTTCACTTTATCAGTTTCTGATTTGAAAAACAACAACAAGGCCCCAACAAACCACCACAGGAGCATCATCAGGATCCAGATAAAACCAGTCGACTGGAGGACAGAACGTGTCAGTGTCTCGGTTCAGTAAAGTTCGTCTGTCTTACCTCTGCGGTTCTGGATCTTCACAGTCACCTCGGCGGGCTCCCGCAGGTTGCTCGCCAGGTACAGACGCCCCGAGTCCCGCTCGATCTGGACCGGGGAGTCCGCCTCTGCTATCACCTCGAACCACCGCTGCTGGAACCTCTGGTCCGGCACCGTGAACACCAGGTCCCCGACTCTGATGTGGTCCGGAACGGTCACCGTGTAGGTCAGCTCCTCGGAGAGAGCCCGGGGCCGTCGCCGCGCTCTGCTGGATCGGTGCCGGTGGACGTTAACGCGCAGGAACACCGGGTCACCGATCAGCGCCACATCCCCGCCGTCCTTCGCGTAAAGGCGGAGAGTCACCTGGCTGAAGCCCAGCAGGGACCCGACCAGCCTCACCTGTCCGGTCAGAGGAACCACGTGGAGCAGGTGAGACTCCGGTGACGCGTAAAAAGTGACGCGACCATTCCGCTCTGCGTCGCCGTCCTTTGCGTCGAACCGGGCCAGCTCGGTACCGAGCTGCGTCAGCTCGTCCACGTCAACGGTCAAGTTCCCGTTGGTGAACCGGGGAATGTTATCGTTCCTGTCGGACACTTCCACCTGGACAGCCGCCGCTGTCCTCAGACACCGTGGCGGCAGCTGCACCCTCAGCTCGTACATCGCTATAAACTCCCGGTCCAGCGCTTTGGCAGACACCAAACCCAGGTGTCCCCGGTGTCCCCGGTGTCCCCGGTGGTGAACAAGCTTAAAATCCGACGCGTAATCCCCCTTCAGACTGGCATTGAGGTCCGCTCCGGGGCAGCTGCCGGTTTCGAGCGGCAACATCACCCGATCCACCGGCGTCCCGGCCGGAGAGTTCTCGGATATTTGGCCGAAGAAGCGCGCTGGAGTCCCGCGCTGCGCGGACAGACACACCGCTGAGACGTGGAGCAGCAGGAGCAGGTGGAGGAGGAGGTTGTGCAGAGGAACCGGTTCGTTCGCAGCTTTGGTCATGTTTCCATCAAACCCGTTTCAGGTGCAGGAGACAGCGAAGTGTCCACCACAGCCACGAGACCCGGAGATGATCCTCTTCACAACGGGCCTGTGCGTAAAAATGAGCAAAGTTCCCTGATGCAGGAAATTCAATGATCTGTCCTTTTTAATCGGTTCACTTGAAATAAGTCCAGTACAAGAGCGGAGTGTGAATCAAGAGGAGCCCGAAGTTCATCCAGTGCGAAGAAATAAAAATACCACACACAGAACGAGTCCTGCGGTTAATTCATTCTTCAATCACACTTTTACGCACGAAGCAGAAAGAGAGAATCTTTTAGTTCTCCGTTAAAAACACGAACAGCAAAAGAAGTGATGGTTCAAATAATATTCAGAGTTCAGGTCAGATGTTTCCCGGACAGAGGAGGAGGAGGAGGAGGAGGAGAAGTTGATCCGGAGAGTCTCCACTGGAGGATGGATCAGACTGAAGAGCTCAAACACACAGCAGCCTCCATGTGGCTCCGTCAGCACCGCCCACCGAGGAGGAGAGGGGCCAATCAGAGAGCAGGGGAGGGAGTGAGTGACAGGTCTCGAGAGAGAGAGAGAGAGAGAGAGAGA